AATCGTTCTCATGAAAATAATTGATTTTTTCATTAAAACAAAAAATGTTGCATTTTAATAAATGGATTGTAACAATAAGTATAATTACGGCTTTTCTTCCACTATTTTTAACACAGTTTGAAACTTCAAATGCGATATAATTTTGGCTTGGACCATCTAAACTGACTGACATCAGCTTGCTATAATTTCTGTTTACATTACATCGCAATTCGATGACACTCTGGCTCAGACACCAGAATGTTTTGATTCTATGATTTTTAGCATTCGTTTAGGATTTTCAAACAACCTGGTCTCTTTTAAAATACTTTTAATTTGTTCTTACGTGGTTTTCAGATGTAGTGACGACAACATTAAAGTTTAAAGAAGAAAATTCTAACATTTAAACCGACTAAACAATAACATAGTAAACTTGCATAATTAAACAGCAACTAAAAATAATAGGTTTTACTAAATCTTTTCCTGTGCAATTATTACTAGCATTGGAGACAAGGATAATAGTTTGTTTGAAAGAGAAAAGAACAGGCTTTGAAGTAAACCTAAAAGCGTTTAACTAGAAATAGTATTTCGAAAGTTATTAAGCACAAAAGATGAATTGCGTTTATTTTGATACACCCTGTATATATATATATATATATATATATATATATATATATATACTCTCATATATATATATATATATATATATATATATATATATATATATATATATATATATATATATATATATATATATATATATATATATATATATATATATATATATATATATATATATATATATATATATATTGGTGAAATTATTCGCGCAGAGCGAAAAGCAAATTCAATCGGCAATGTGATTGGTTGGCGATAAAATTCCCCGCAACCACTGCATTGTTAAAATTAGGTTTTCGTTTCGCGCGAACAATTTTGACCAGTAGAAAAAACCCGCCTTGATATACGTATAGGTTGGTTAATATGTAAAGCTATAGCTGATTAATAGAACACTTGCACTTGTGCAACTTTCACTTAAGGTGCACATAAAATAATGCAGGTTTTTCGTTTTACAGGTTGCTGTTTTCGGAAAAGGGGGAAGTGTTGGTTTATCGTTCACTGTCCCACCAAAGAAATGCGCAATCTTAGGCATCGATGGCATGACATGTAACTCATGTGTGCAAAGCATTCAAAACAATATCAGTAATGTCAATGGCGTCGAGTCTATAAATGTCTCCCTCAAAGACAAGGAAGGTCGTATCATCTTTTTTCCTGATGAAATAAACGAGCAAGCTCTTGTGACTGAAATTGAAGACATGGGATTTGATGCATTTATTAAAGCTGTTGAGCAGCTTGTCGTGAAGGACGAGTCACCTTCGAAGTTTTTGCGTGAGAACACAAAGGAAACCAAGCTTAAGGTGTATGGCATGACTTGCCAATCATGTGTGCGCGCCATAAAACAAAATCTTTCAGAGATTAAAGGTTTCATTTATGCTGAAGTATCGGTGGATGACAATGAAGCTATCATCAAATACAATTGTGATGAAACAAACACTGCCATATTGAAAGAATCAATTGAAGATTCTGGATTTGAGGTTTATATAGATGATGAATTAATTGATCGTGAACCCAAGAAGATTGCTTTCCGTGTATCAGGAATGACGTTTCCTTCATGTGTTGATACTATAAGACAAACACTCCAGTCTACTGATGGAGTTAAGGAGGTAGATGTTGAGTTGAACAGTGAAAAGACTGAAATCTGGTACCAACCAGCAATAATTGATCCTGCTACACTAATCAAGCTAATTCAAGATAAGGGTTTTGAAGCTACCTTAATATACCACAATGGTAGAACACCTGAGTACAAATTGGTGTTGATTTCCATTGAAGGAATGACATGCAATTCTTGTGTTAAAAGTATAGAAGGAACCGTTTGTGATATAGCAGGCGTTAAATCTATCAAGGTTTCCTTGGAGGAGAAAACAGGCGAGATTATATTTAATCCAGACCTCACGGGAGAAAATGATTTGAAGGATGCAGTTGATGATATGGGATTCGAAGCTGCAATAAAAGAACATCAAAAACCAGGTGGGTGCCTTCAAATGTGCTATATACAGTATTATGTACATTCAAGCTTTCGTTGGTAGGGATGTATAACTACCTGAAAAATACAAGGAGAAATTTGACGTTTCGAGCGAAGGCCCTTTGTCGGGAAGTTAATACCGGGAGTCGGGAAAATTACATGAGCTTTTATACAAAGAATATTTTATATAAAGGCTCATGTAATTTTCTCAATGCCCGCTTCTTATGTTCTCGAAGAAGGGCCTTCGCTAGAAACGTCGAATTTCTCCTTGTGTTTTTCATGCAGTTGATCCCTACCAACGAAAGTTTGTTATTATTGGCACCACCTACACTGGCACATACCACTCAAGATTATGTACATTCACCATTTCATTTTACCACTTTGAACAAACATGCAGTAATTTCGATCATTTCTTTGGGTTATTTTTTCACCAAGTGTTATTTTGATCGCAGCATGGATACGACTTTGGTGATCTCAAATGAAATTATTTCAAAAGAGTTAAATTACTCTTAAAATATTAAACTAAGATTAAAGATTAACATTTCTATAGCGTATAAATTTACATGTGGATATGATCAAATGCGCTTTACATCAAGGGCCATCAAGTATTAGTATAAACCTACTAGTAGGCTATCACATATCGTGACTTCTGATTGGCTACGCTACTAGTAGGCTATTAGTGATAGCCTACTAATAGCAAATTCAAAATGGCGGAAAATTCGCGTTTTGCACTTTTGCCGAAGTGTCTGATGATTTTTTTGGACGACTTGTTGAACAATTCTGTACTAAAAAACCCCAAAAAAGCAACAAGAATATGGAATGGCAATTTTTAAGGGTAAGAAAATAGACAAAATAACATACGCTCGATGAAATTTTAAAATTAAAACTGAATTTTGTAAAACATTTTACGCGAACAAAAACTAAAATATTTGTTTACCTTTAATGGTTTTTATAATGTTTTTTTGTGTATTTTTGTATTGTGTTTGCAGCCTAGTTGTAAATTAATGTTAAAGTTTAGACTAAAACAATTAGACAACTCGGCCTCGTTGTCTAGGAGCAAATAGTCAACTCGGCTTCGCCTCGTTGACTATTCGCTCATAGACAACTCGGCCTCGTTGTCTACTTGTTAAGAGACAATGTCCACTAAAACCGAGCAAAATCGAGAATACGTGGCACATGAGGAAAAATAAAAAATCTTCTTATTTTTTCCAGTGATACTCTAATGTGTACTCAGAAACGTGGTGGGGTTTGTTTTCTGAAATATTATTTT